ACAGATATAAATTACAATGGCAGCTGTAGGGCAAAGTATGCAGGAGGAGAAGCATGGCAAAGTTGAGATGACTTGGATGGGAAACGAATCACAATATTAGCTGTTTGAAAGCTTCCCAGGACTCAGCTCTGCTGGAGTCACACCATCAGAAACAAACTGCCTTTATGTCGACGCCGCTAAACTCAGTCACTCTGTCGAAGCGTATATTATTACAGAACAGCATAATTACTGTTGGACTGATAGAAGGTTAAAGACAAAACACAAAGACAAACCACTGAGTTCATCACTGATTTGGTTCTCTTTTAACAGGGTAAATATAAGAGCACATCTTCTCATGTCAGCTCCTGCACAGAGTGTTTTTAACTCTAAAGAAGCTGCAAAAACGTCTAAGATAAAGGCAGCGGTGGAGCAAACGCACGGTTCACAGGAAGTGTAAGAATGTCATTCACTGTCCCTCAAGGGTTCCTGATAATCCTGCTGCCGCTTTATGATCCACCAACTGCGTCAGACAGACTGTTTCCATTCCAAACGCATCCTCCGGCCATCGTGTTTCTGCTGCCAAACACCAGAGATGCACGCGTGTGTGTTACTGAGTGTGAATATTTACAGGCAGAAAGTACAGGGCGCATGTGATTCACCGTAAATACTACAACTCATCTGCTAAAACCTGCAGCAACTTCTGGAAACAGTGAACAGTGATTTCCCATGCTTCTTGTTTAAAATAAATCAGTTTTTGTTTTGGGTCAGTAGGATAAAATGATCTGATGGCAGAAATCAGAGAATTTTTGATGCAGCTTTTTACATCAAATTTAACTTCATCGTTCAAATATTTCTGACCTAATTATATTTGAAGCCAATAAATCAATAAATAAACACGTTGAGGGTGTGGGCAGCTGTGACTGCTTGTCATACGGTGACAAAATGTTTCAAATAAAACTTGTGCTCTTGTGAACTCTGCTGGAGGAKTTTGCGAAGTGCAACAGGTTCATTTAGATTTTGCAGATTAATAAACGCAGATTTCTGCATTAATTTTTTTAAGTTAAAAAATGCTAAATTTAAAATCTCCATTTTTTTTCATTAAAACTTTAATCTTTACAAATTAGAGCACATGCAAACATAAATGTAAATGCTTTATTTTCACTTAGTAATTTTTCTGTTGTTCACCTTCAGAGGGTCTAACATCCTGCCAGTATTAATTCAATTCAGTTTATTTATTTTATATAGCGCCAAGTCGTAAGCTGAAATATCACCCTGTACAGAATTTCCCACTTGCTGACCCGTGGGAGGCCCTCCGAAGTCCGAGGCTGCCCCCGGGGCAGAGGCGGTCCTTCCCACGCCCCTGGACGTGGGGCACAGCCAGGAGCCGCCGCTCAGCAGCGCCAAGCAGCCACGGTAAGAGCAGGATAAAAAGCAGGCAGGATTCCTGTTACAACCAGGTGAGCAGCTGGAGGGGGAGGGGCCATAACAACACACACATGGAGGTGTTTATGAGGCCTGAGCTTTATGGAACACCTGCTCTCTGACAGTGGCTCCATTATCCTCATCAGATTAAAAATAAATAATTTAAAAAAAAAACACTAAAAATATCTAAATCCACACCAGGAATCCCTCAGATGAAGTGTTTAGATCAACGGAGCTTCCTGTTATTATCTGAGTCTGGATGGGGTGCCATTTGTAACGTTACACTGTCAAAAATTACCACCAATATTTTTTATTTAGCCCTTTATAAGAAAAAAAGAACAGATTTATTTTTTCAGTCAGTTTTTCACCATGTGATTCATACATTTATAAATGT